GGTTTGCAGCAAAGACAAAAGTCTTTTTGAGTTTAGTGCGCAGTTCTCTCTATGCCGATAACTGTGACCTGGTCGCACACAAAATTAAGCACGCAGTTCATGGATCGACTATCGTGTATCAACCTGCTCGAGGAATTCAGTATATAGAGCCATCAATTTATATTGATGGTAGTCGACTTGGGGTAGTAGACAAATTTGTATACCTTGGTAGAACCCTCAACAGACACTGCTTTCTTGACGATGAGATAGTGTTACGGATTAAGAAGACCTCTGATGCATTTTCAGTACTCAAGATCCGTGTCTGGAGTCAGAAGGGCACAAAAAAGCTGACAAAAATTAGAATATATAATACCTGCGTTATGCCATCTCTGCTACATTCATGAGAGACATGGCTAGTCTATCACAGACATCTGAACATTCTGGAACATTTTTATCAACGCTGCCATCAGTCTATGCTTGAAATCCACTGGATGTCTCACACCCCCTGATACTGTTGTTCTAGAAAGGGCCAATTCACTCTCTGTGGTAGCACTTATACAAAAGCACAGATTGCGATGGCTGGGCCATGTTGTCCGTATGATGGATAAGAGAATTCCAAAAAGCGGGAAGAATAACTCTTCACGTGCAGACAATCTGATTGGTTGGCATTGACCAAAAATTGAAAATATATAGATTATAAAATTGTCGCATTACACAGTAGTGTTGATTTATTATCCAATGAATGCTTGTGGTTGTATAATTTGAATTTGCATAAGTATGTATGTATGTGTGTGATGATGATCATCATCACAATGGTTTGGGGCTGCTTTTTGATGCGAGGTGTTGGCAAACTAGCAATTATAGACAATAGAATGAATGCAGAAAAATATCAACAAATCCTAAGCGAAAATTTATCGCTTTCTGTAGAGAATCCTGGGCTTCCTCATGATTGGATCTTCCAGCAGGACAATCATCCCAAGCATATTGCTCAGAGTACGAAGAATTGTCTTGCTAATAACAACGTTAACATCTTACAATGGCCCAGTCAGTCACCGGATTTGAATCCAGAGAATTTATGGCGGTTTTTGAAAAATAACATCCGTGATAGAGGTCCAACAAACATCAAAAGCCTGAAGACAATTCCTCAGGAAGAATGGGACAAAATACCTACTAAAGTATGCGAATCGTTAATTAAAGACTACAGGAAGAGATTGGTTGCTGTTGAACTTAATAAAGGCTTTGCTACAAAATATTAAATGGAGAAAACATGTTTTTGTTCTACTGTACGATCATTTTTTAAACTCCTAATAATTTAAATAATTGCTATATCTTAACCATGGAATATTATTTAGTTTTATATGCATACATTTTTAGTATGCAATCTGATACAGTAGATATATTCCTGTTTTGTTAATTTAATATAATACAAATAAAAATATGAAATATTTTCATGTGTACGATCACTTATTCAACCCACTTATATATATATATATATATATATATATATATATATATATATATATATATATATAAAATTAAAAGAACCATACTAGAGTCATTTCAATGTGCGGAAATTTTCAAAAAGTGCTCAATACACAAAATAGAATTTGTAGAGCACATAATAAAATTATAAAAGATTAGAAGAAATTCAAGCATAACGCATTACTCTGCTTTTGACCCCATAACCTCGTCAGGAGAGTTACTTGTAAATTGTTAATCTGTGGTACTTATATAGATTGGCTAATTACCATGAATCATAAATATCAAAATAGGGGTGCAAGGAAGTAAGGAAAAACAATGTAAAAAAATTTGATCATCTGGGCTTCTCCTGGTCTAAAGTATATGTATTAGATAGTCTACATCTGGACATAACCTCGGACCGATGATTCAACAAATTGATTTTGTCCAGGTATTTCACTGTAGACAACTTTTCCTCCTGACACAGCCTACACACATTACCAATACTTCTGCAAGTTATACACTTCACTTTATCCTGGGGCTTCTACAGCATTTTTTAAAATCCCACACATGATTTGCCAGCTTTGTACAATGGTTATGACTTTCCAGCTTGAAGGAATATCTATGGTTGTCTATATATATATATATATATATATATATATATATATATATATATATATATATATTGACCTTATAGGTCTTTTTATATTATACAATCTCACATCATATTGTGAAATTAATATAACTGACATTGGATTATTCAGAGATGATGGACTTATGGACTCTACTAACTTTAAAATCGATAAAATTAGAAAGATATTATATAGAGAATTTAAAAGCCTGATCTTAAAAATTACGGTAAGCACTAAATTGAAAAAAGTGAACTTCCTTGATATAACATTAGATTTAATGAAAATACATACCTTATAAAAAACTCAATACTAATCCTTTGTATATACACCCTAAATCTAATCATCCTCCATCTATAATTAAGCATATACCTTTATCTATCAACAAAAGAATAAGTACAAATTCAGCAAATGAGAAGATTTTCTATGAACATATTGCTTTCTATAATAAAGCTCTAAAAGATAGTGACTACAAAAACCCAAAACTAACTTATATAAAAAATGAAAATGGAAAGCATAGGAAAAACAGAAGCAGAAAATAATTTGGTATACACCCCCATACAACCAAATGGTTAAGAATAAATTAGGACAATAATCCCTTGCATTAATTGTTAAACATTTTCCTAAATAAAGTAAACTCAGTATTATTTTCAATAAAAATACCCTAAAATTAAGTTACAGCTATACTGAAAACTTAGAAAAAATTATTAAGAATCCTAAAATAAATAATAAACACTAAGACAAAGACATTTAGACAGTATAAAAAATAAAAAGAGATGAAAATAAACAAAAATTATGCAACTGCAGAAATCCTCATAAATGTCCTCTAAAAAATAAATGTTGCACAGAATCATTAGTATACCAATGCAATATCTCATCTACTGAGGATCCAGATAATGTAAAGGTCTATATTGGATGCACAAGGCATCAGTTCATGATAATCAACATCAAAGTTCTTTTAGGATAAATAAATACCGGAATCAGACGTCTCTATCAAAATATTTCTGGTACTTAAAAGAAACCAATAAAACACCTACAGTAAAATGGAAATTAATAAGAAAGGCTAGAATATGTAGGTCATTAAATGATCCGTGTCCTTTGTGCATACGTGAGAAACTATATATTACTAGGTTTATAAAAAATAAAAATTTACTGAATCAAAGAAATGAAATAGCCAACATTGTCAAAAATTTTCCTTAAATAATGTTTAAAAAAAGATGATAAAAGAAACATACATACTTATATTTGATATTTAATAATAATTTTTAAATAATTTAAGTAATTCTATTACAATTATTTGTTTTAAAAAGAAGTATAGCTTATTAGTAATTAAAATAAAAAAAATAATATTTTAAAATTGTAAACAAATATTATAAATGTATGTGCTTTTAAAACTCAGTAAATTTCAAAATAAGTTATTCCAAATTTCACTTCAAAATGAAACAGAATGAGGTACTTTAATTTAATTATATAATTGAATTGGAAGTTTTTAGCTTCTGTTTTTGAAACATGGTAATTCCTGTGTAGTGATGGAACCATATTTTAAATCAGTTAATTTATAATATTTATGCTCTGTAATTTTGCATTGAGCACTGTTTTGTAAAAATAGAAATATTAATAAGAACACTGGATTATATATCTTACTGCTATTTCTTTTTTATATATATATATATATATATATATATATATATATATATATATATATATATATATATATAGTGGTACTACTGCTTGGAAAAACCTTAGGTATTTCAGCTTGTAGTTGAACAAACCAATACCTGAGGAAAAATGTGGAATAAAAAAAAAGAAAGAACTAAGAACATGAAATTGAAGTGAAAACAATTGTCTAGAATTCAAGTTCAGAGTCCAAAGAAAAAACTCCAAAATGAGTAAAAGTAACTACATAAAGTAAAGCAAACCTAATATAAACCTAAAGAGCTAGGTAAACCTACCTAGGTTTCACCTAAATGGATCGTCAAGGTAAAACTATATTTATATATATGAATGTATGTATATGTATATATATATATATGTATATGTATATATATGTATATGCATATATGTGTGTATATATATCGAAGTAATAGGAAAGAACAGTCAGATTTATATGGTGTCTTATCAAGTGAAATTGATAAGATCAAGATTCAATGTATGATTATTTCTTTATATTAGGCAGTATATATTTTATATTATAAAGAGATAACAATACATTGAATCAATTAGCAATATTATGATTATCTCTTTATAATATAAAATATATGCTGCCTAATATAATACGTTTATGAAAACAATTGATCTGCAGTACGAAATTCCGGAGAAAAAAAACTACTAAGACATATCACTCTATTAATTGAATGATGTACTTAGTTCATGTCATGTTAACTGGAAAACACTTACAACAAAAGAATTTGTGGATTTATCAAATTACAAAATTCATATAAAAAATTCTCACTTGAAATATTTGAATATTGCGACTTGCACATTCCAATATTATATAACCATTAATAAATAACACATTCTTAAAAAACATCTTTCAGTGTACAACACATTTATTTTGTCTTCGAGTTTTGATTTTAAAGGAAAAAATTACAGCCTGATGAATATATATATATATGTGTGTCTATATGTATATATATATATATATATATATATATATATATATATATATATATATATATATATATATATATATATATATATATATATGGTGGCCATGGTTGATAGGAGTAAGAATTATATGAAAATAAGAGGATATTGCCAGTCTAACTATTTACAGGCATTTACACTAAAATTAAGTGGGACTGAGTCAAAGTATCAAGTTAAATTATAAGAAAAGGATATATTTCAAAACAATTTAGTAGCAAAGAGAATATAATTTTGGTATATGGCCATATTTAGATTTTTTATTTTATAAATTGATTTTTCTTTTTACATATGTGGTTCATTTCTTTTTTATTTTATAAATTGATTTTTCTTTTTACATATGTGGTTCATTTCTTTTGCTTACCTGCCTATCATTTTGGTAAACTTTAAAGTTATGTTGGATTCTATATTTTAGATAATTCTAATTTTTCAATTCATTTTCATTTCCTAGGATCTTCATCTGGAAGTTTAAAAAAAGAATTGGAAAAGATAAAGAAAACTCATGTTCATGAGCTTAAGCCACCTTTGTGGAACAAGTGTGGTCGACCAAAGAATGGTTTTGTCATTTTGGATGATGGCTCATACATGTGTGCCAGGTATCGGGATCCTCACAGCAAACTTGTTTTTGGTAAGTAATTTAGTTCCATTTGTATTTGTAGCCCATTATAAATTATTGTTTAACAATATAACTTAAATTATAAATGAAAACATTTTTTTCAAAACATTTTAATGATAAAGAATTTCTTTTCTTTGAAACACCATTACTATCAAGAAAATCATTGAGATTTAAATAATTCAGATGCTAGATATTTTATGAATACTGAGACATTTCTGTGTGTTTAGGATAAGAATGGTCATGTGCTGATTCAAAATGTACAATTCATTAATTAATAAGCTGTACAAATTAAACTAAACAGTGTTCAGGCTCTTAGAACTCATCCAACTTAAACAGGTATAATTAATTAGGTCTAAATAGCACCATATAAATTATTAGTACCAAAATGAATCCTCAGAAAATAATAAAAGCCTACTCATTTGATTTTAATATTTTTGGACTCTAATTAGCTAAAAAGCAATTTCTTGCTCATATGACATGTAGTTCAGTGGATGTACATGATGAAAGTTTTACAAGTACAGACTGACCATTAGTGCTCATAATTTTTCATTTGAAGCACTATCTCAAGCAGTTTTCAATTGCACTATTATAACCAATTTTGAAGCATTACAGCAACCAACATTTCTACTTGATCCATGCTGATCAAAATATTTTCTCTTGTTACAAGAATCTTATAATTCAGTGCTTTAAAATATATCTATTCAAGGATCAATACTTTGAAAACATACACAACTTTTGTTTTTCCTTATATGTTACAGACTGGTTCAATTCTAACAGGTCATTTATGAATAAAAGCAAAAATAGCATGTTTCCAATCTCAAAATAGTTCCTTTGATGAAGATTTTTATAAATAAGTTTATTAAGGTAATTAAAATATTGGATTCCAGTGAAAATCATAACTGTTATAAAGTTTATTGCTTGCTTTGCAGCAGGTATTAAAATTGCAAGTCATAATTACTACTTATCTATCCATTCTCTTAGATATAAATATTATAGTAACAAACATATGAAAGGTATTTTCCATTATGCATTAGGTAAAGAGTTTGCATATCAGACCAGGTAAATAATAATAATAATACTTTGTGATAAATTCCTCTTTTTTATCTCTTCATATCATTTATTTTCCCATTAATTACTTTTTTTATCAATCTTTTCAATTAATTACAAAGATATCAGAACTAAACCCTAAATCCTACCTGTCTGTATTTCACAAATCAAAATGGGAATTCTGCTTGGATTATCATGACACTACTCTACTGTTTCTCTTCTTGATTTAATTCAAAAAGTATGCCAAAATGAATCAGATGAGATGACAAGTTTTCCAGTATATCTGAAAAGTTCAAACATGTATGTTGCTACATGGAAGTACCTTTCATCAGTTATAAATTTAAATGTTTCATTAAATTTAAAATAGTATTTAATGCATTTGGGCAACCTTTTCATCAAAAATATTCCTTCTTCTAAAAATAAAACGATTACAAAATCATAGGAATTTCCATCTTATATCTTGATTCATATGCTTTTTTAAATGTATGGAAGTATGATTTTTTAAATACATTTTTAGTTTACAGAAAATCTCTGACAAGTCAAGTCACAAATAAATTGACTCCCATTGTGTGCTCATTAGAAATGCGGCTATGGACTTACTCAATTACTAGATGTGTAACAAATAAGAAAATATTAATCCCGTAGAAATCTTCCCAGTCTTAATTTTGGACTTAATCAATTACTAGGTGTGGAATGAAATAGAAGTACCATTCTGAAATTTCCCAGTTTATATCACAGAAGGAATAATTACTGATTTTCATTTGGACATTCTAAAGAACTTCTATCTGTTTGCAATTATGAACACTTCAACTTATGAACTCATGATTCATGGAGTAATATCCAGTATCAGATAAGTGTGTCATTGATCTTACATTTGCTATTTTATATTCTCTTATATAAGATGTAAGATCAATGACACTTATTCAATTGATTTACTACATAAAATTGTTTTTAAACTTTCATCCTGTTTTTGTTATCTGTTTCTATCTGAGCAATTCCATCTTTGGTACTGTTTTGGCTTTGTGTTTCAAATTATTTAAGCTGAAGTCCAGTGGCTTTCAATGTTGTTTTAAGTTAGTTCTTATATCTTCAAAGAGGGTGACCCCATGATCTTTTCCTTGAAGTGAGCTCACTGAATAAGACTTAACGTGAAAACCTTGACTCTTCCATTCTTGCTACATGTTCTGACCATCAAAGATGGTGTTTAATGATCAGTGACATTATTCTTTGACTGTTGGCTCTTTCCAGGAATTTTTGTGTTGGTCGCATAATATTTCCATTTGATGTTCAATATTGAACAAAGCTTTTGCTGGTTAAAAGCAGTATAAATTTTGGATGTCCTGACAAAAATGAGTCAAGGTGTTAAAACTATATAGCAAAGTTGAAATAAGATCAGCAGTTTAAACCATAATTTTTGTTGTTAGAAGATGCATTTCATTAGCTTTCCAAATGCCCCACATGCAGTGCCAATTCTGTGTTTCACATCCTTTTCTTAGGTACACTTGTTTGACAAAAGGCTGTCTAGATATGAAAAATGTTCTACTTGTTTGAGAAGCATATCAGAGATGGCAATATTAAAATCTGATAAGATGGTATTTGGGGCTACCTTGGTTTTACTTAACATTTACAAGGTCAAAGTGATGGTAGGTCATAGCAAAGTTGTTCATAGATTGTTGTTCTGCTTCTTTTGAATGAAATAGAGCAGTGTTGTCATCAGCATATTGAAGTTCTGAGATGTGTTGTGTGTGTGTTTAGATCGAAGTCTACTAAAGTTGGAAAGTCCTCCATCATAGTGATATCTGATGTCAACTCCTTAATTGTCTGGAGGAAGTTTGTGAAGTATTACAGCGAGATACAAGGAGAATAACATAGGTGCCATGACTCATGCTTGTTTTAGTCCTCACATGATTGGAAATACTTCTGACACCGTGTTTTAGTGGAATACACATCCAGACATATTGAACCAAAGAGATAAAGTGGCCAGGACATCCAAAAGGATAAATAACTTTCCATATAGCAGCTCTTGGAACTCTACCAAAGGCCTTTTCTAAGTCATAGAAAATAGGAAAAAGGGGTTTTTGTTGTGCCCTGATTTTCACTTGGAGTTGCCTTGCACAAAAAAATCATGCCAATTGTACTACAAGAGGTACGGAATCAACATTGAGATTCTGGTAGGATCTTTTCAATGATGATCTGGAGCCTGAATTAGAATGATCCTGGCAAAGATTCTTCCAGTGTTGAAGAATAATGATATTCCTCTATAGTTCCCACAGGCTTTTCAGTTAAATTTTTTGAAGATCATTATGATGATTGCATTTTTCAGTTCTTTTGGATACATTTATAATAATAATAGTAATAACGATAATCCCCTTTCACATGAACTAAACAATAATATCTATGGATACAAAATAAAGAATAAAATGTTGAATCACCTATTCTACATGGATGATATCGAATACTTTTCCAAAGATGACAATGAGTTAAAGGGTATCCTCAATACTGTAAAATGTTTCATCAATGATATTGGTATGAATTTCAGATTAGATGAATAAATCTAGATTTTATCACAATGATTAGGGAACTGGGAGAAGAAGGAGCCTATAAATACCTATGAGTCAGCAAAGGAGATGGAATACAGTATAGCCAAATAAAGGAGAAAGTAAGAAAAGAATACTACAGGCATATGCATCTTATGTTAAACACCAAGTTGAATTCACAAAACAGAATATCAGCTATATTTGGCAGTCTCTGTGGTGAAATACAGTTTCAACATCCTTAAACGGACCATAGCTGACATTAAGCAAATGGATATCAAAATGAAAAAAGCTTCTCACTTGCCACTGCATGCATCATCCTAAGGCTGATGTTGATCATCTGTATGCGTGCAGATCTGAAGACAGCAAAGGATTAGTTCAACTAGAACTGTCTTACAAACTACAACAATCAATTTAAAGATACTTGGAGTACACTACAGAAGAGTGGATGATGGTCTGTGTCAAAAAATATGAAAAAAAATAAGAAACTTTATTCAGTAATAAACGAAGCCAACAAATTCAAAAGGGAATTTCAAGTGAGTGAAGACAGGCAAATAAACCATAATACAGCAGCAAAGAATCCAGAAAAGAAAGCAAAAACAAATCCAATGTACTAAATACAGAAACAATAGCAACATAAGCCTCTTCATGATCAATACTCTGCCTGTACCAAAAAAGCTACTGTAGAAAAACCTGTACCCATCAGTGGTTATGTAGTACATAGTTAAAAGCTGAAAGTGAAGGTTTTATTCTTTCTGCACAGGACCAATGCTTGCTAACTAGAAATTAAAAATTAGAAATTGCAAATTCTGTGATAAATATCCAGAAACAACTGACCATCTTGTAACAAGTTGCACTGTATTGGCACTCACTGAATATAAAAACTGGCATGAAAGAGTGGACCAATATCTGCATTGGAAAATCTGAAACTTTTATGGAAAAGATACTACAAGAAATTGGTATGAACATCACCCAGCCCTGGTTATAGAGATAAGACCTGTAACAAGTTTATGGGATTTTAACGATACACACAGACAGAACAAATAAAGTTAATCACCTAGATATCATGATCAAAGACCACAAGAACAGAATGTGCTTTTTTATTGACATGGCAGTTCCTGCAGATTGTAATATATCTTTGAGGTTCTTAAAAAAATCTAACAAAATACAAGGATCTTGAAGTGGAAATCTAAAAAATGTGGCCATCAATAATTCCAGTTGTAATTGGAAAACTTTGGATTGATTGGAAAAGGTTTTGATTCAGTGGAAGATGTCATGAAGCCATTTCATTAGAGACCTAAGGTCTCTAAGGAAATGAGTATACAACAGAAACAGTAGGAAATAATAATAATAATTTGACATGTGGATACCTTTTATGTTGAATCGTCAATGATTTTCTTAGTGAAGTTAGTTATTATGGATGGATCTTATTTTTCTTAAAATAAAGAAAGAGAGGAACAAAAGAAGAAAAAATAAAAATATAATCTGTACATATATGCAATTAAATAATTTAAGTAATTCTATTACATTTATTTGTTTTAAAAAATGTATAGTCAATTAGTAATTAAAATTTAGAATATTTTAAAATTGTAGTTCAATATGACATATTCATATACAAACAACCCTTTTAGAAAAAAATCTTTATGTATACAAGTACAAATTTAGCAAAACAAAAGTACCAAAAAAGTTTTTGTCGTTGAAAAAGACCAGACGACATGTGTTGAACAGATGTCATCATTCGTTTGAAAAGGCACCCCTACCCTACCTTGACTCAACCTCTTTTCAAAAGTAACTCATAATTTCTGATACAATAGTTGTCAGTGAAAAAGAATACCCTACCACCCCTTGTTAAAATAATTGGATTTCCCCATATCTATAGAAATTAATATTATGAATATACATTCATAATATTAATTTCTATAGATATGGGGAAATCCAATTATAAAACTCAGTAAAATTTCAAAATGTTAGTCCAAAATTCACTTGAAAAAGAAACAGAACTAGGGGTTTTAATTTAATTCTTTAATTGAATTTGAAGGTTTTAGCTTCTGTTTTTGAAACATGGTAGTTCCTGTGTAGCAATGGAACCATATTTTTAAATAAGTAAATTTATAATATTTATGTTCTGTAGATTTGCATTGAGCACTCTTTTGTAAAAATAAAAGTATTAATAAGAACACCGGATTATATATCTGTGTTTCTGTATGTATGTGTGTGTGTATGCATATGTATACAATTATCATTTTATATTAAATCACATTTTTTAAACTTTTTTGCGCAGGTGAAGTACTCTCATTTTACCTGTCACGTCTTTTAGGCTTGGATAACATACCAGTTGTAAGCCTCTCACAGGTAAATCACTCATTGTTGCAATGGAAAGGAATTGATTTTAACAGGCTGAAATGGAAAGAAGGTAATTTGGTAGCTTTAATCCAGTGGATTCCAGGAATTTCAACAGTGAGGTACATATTTTTTTTTTATTTCTTCACTCAGATTTGGGTTAAAAAATAAAAAGAAACAAAGAAGAGACTTACCTTTAAGGTGAATTTATGTTATGAATAAATTTCTTGAGCATTTTTTCTAAAATTCTTTGACATTCTTTGATTGTAGAAAACAAACATAAGCTGTTTTAAGATGAAGAAATTGGTTCAATAACTATTTATAACATTCAGATAGTTTCCCAAACAATATCAAATACATTGTTTAAAATTTCATAATATTCATAAAGATTTTACCAAATAGCAACAACTCTATGCTCAGTTTTGATTCTCTGTCAGTTAAAAATAAACTCTAAAAGTTTATGGTCAGATTTTTCTACCTAATAAAAATTTCCTACCTAATAAAAATTGGCAAGCTCTATCTGTGCCACATATCTAACACTTCTTTTTCAATATTTCTGGAAATGTACATTATAAGATGATATTCTAGAGACAAAATTGCTGATGTGGTATACTCATTTGCATCCGTAGTTAAAGTCATTTCCTTTTTAAGGTCAAAAATCTATTGTAATCACCTTAAATTTTTCATTAATCTGTATCTGGTTATAGGTAGATTTGGGATCAGTTTTAGTAAAGTGTTTAATTCCCAACAACTCATGAATACCAGTTTCAATATTAGGAATAGGGAACAAATCAGAACACATTTTGTGGTTTACTCTTGTCAAGAATGAAGACTCAGAAGATAAGTTCGTCCAAGCTTTATTCAGCAAACTACAAGCAGGGTTCACATCACATGTATTCCTGGTATTCTCAAATATGGCTGACTGTTGTAATCCGAAGAAGGGGCCATAAATGAATATGGTGTCGTAAAGGAGTGCCGTAGTCCATCTCTTATTTACAACAACTCCTATTTTGTAATCCCCCCATATTTCCATCCTGTTTTCATAAAACAATAATGGGTGATGCCCAATTACTACCACCAGGGGGAACATTTTCTAAAATTCCTTGTTCCACCATTGTTTTTAGTTAAGCAACTACTAACTGTAGCATAGCTTGGGCAGTCTGTGAAACTCAAATTCAGAGGAATGACTATTTTTTTAATTGAATGCTTACTTTGTATCATTTTAACATCCCTGTGTCATTACTTTCCTACTTTACACTGATAAGTAATTTGGTTGTATCCACTTTCAAGACATCTATTTCCACAAGTCCATGACTTTTTTCACATTTCACTATCATGATGGGAATAACTTCAAAGCATGTGATGATCTCAAAAGTTCCTTCAATTCAACCTAACATTTTGATGAAAGAGTCATCAAAACATCTTAGTTTAAGTTAGCTTTTCTTTAATTTGGGTTTGTTTCCAATTCATTCCCAGAAATTTATTGGGATTAGAATGACATCACTCCCAATATCAACAACACCAAAGCTTAAAATTTTGGTGTTGTCTAGACAACACCAAAGCTCAATGCAAAATTTACTTATACAGTAAATTTCTTCTTCTGTCATTTCATTACTTGAACTGCTAGCTAATCATGACATATGTGGGAGGGATATTAGAATAATCCAGAACTTACATTGCCAGCAAACTACCTGCATATGAATAGGATATTAGTTCAGTAAATACACAAAAAAAAAAAAAGCAGTACAAGACAAGTATTTGTCTTCTCATCTGACTTTTCAGCCTATACAGCGTAAGAATTAAAAGTAATATCAGGATTCGTTATTGGTGACCAAAATCTGAATATTAGATATGCAAATGACAGAGTGTTGACAGCAGACATAAAAAGGAAACTGTGAAGCCCTACAGAAGGTAGTGAAGGAAAGTGAGAAGAAAGGACTAAATATCAATTGCAAGAAAATAGAATGCATGATTGTCAATAAAAGGAACGGCCCAATCTACAAACTACAAATTGGAGATGCCAAAATCAAGCAAAACAAAATATTAAGAAACAGGAAGATTTCATTAGAAAAGAGAACTGAACTGCTATGTAATATCCATCCTCCTATATGGCAGTGAATGTTGGACAATCTCCTCACAGATGAAGAAGAGACCTGAATCAACAAAAATGTGGTTCTAAAGAAGGATGCTGAGAATACCATGGACTGAACAGGTGTGCAGGTTTTGAGACAGATGGCAAAAGGACAAGTTATAAAGAGCTACAAAGGACAGAAAATTGTGAAGAGCCATGATCAGCTAATGGACACAGCATAAAGGTTTTATAACACTGAAAGATTTTGGGAAACTGTAAGAAATTCTGATTCTTATACAGATGAATTAAAAAATCTTCAAAACTTTATATGTTTTCAGGGAAGTGGCAAATAACTAATGCCTATTTGTTTCTTTATTGATAAAAGTTTCTTCTGATTTTTATTACATTCTCTTGCTTCTCAAATATTGTAGAAAGATGATTATATGTCCTTACAACTGGGTTTTATTTTCATGTAAATGATAGATTTTTCTGAAGATTGAAATGCAAGTTTAACAGGAAAATTTAGTCTACCAAAGTGATCTCTAAAAGAATCAAAAGATGTCTAAAGAAATAGTATTCATGTGACTAGCTCTTTTAAGGGATTTTTTATATGGGAAGAAAAAAATGTCATTTATTATCCCTAGTATTGTGAAAGAGGAAAACAAAACAGATACTCTTTCCAATTGGAAATAAATTTACATTTATTACATGACATAAAAACAATAAAACAGAATATAAATTTACAAGTTTGCAAAAAAATTTCCTTTGTGCATCTTATGATTAAGCAAAATAATAGGTTCTAAAATTACATGTTAGGCTCATAAAAGGTAAAAACAGTTATAGGTTTTTTCTAAAAGATTTTCACTTATTTTCAAACATTCAACAAACAACAATCTTTGAAAAGTATGGCAAATTCACAAGTGACATTGGTTCATTTAAACAATATTTCAGTTTTTAAACTGAAATTCAATATTGAAAGTTCAAAATCAGGATTATATAAATAATTTTGAAAATCCTCTTTCAGTTTCCTTTCTGTTTTCTTTCAAGTTCTTGTTCATTGTTGGCATTGTTATGGTTGGCATTTTTTTCTTTTGTCATTCTTTCTTTTTGTTGCCATAGTAGTCATTGGTGTCATACTTACGAATGCTGAAATCCTTTTGCTCTTCTAGCAGCTTGCTAGTGACTTTTTCCTGTGAAAACCTAATTACTTCAGCTTTCTGCCTTCCAGTAGCCAGCTGACCTCATTTACATGTGAAAGCTAAGTCCTTTCTGTAGGACTTCATAAATAGCCATGAATCTGTTGTGAGGGAGCTGAAAGACATCAAGAGGAGTAGCAGGAAAAGCAGTAGCAGCAGTAGCTTTTGCTGAAAACAGTCATTCACGGCTAAACATTCTCTTCCCTAGTTTCTTTTCAGCATTATACAGGGTGTTTCAAAAAATTTGATATCCTTTGAGATGTAAATATCACAGAAAGTACATGATTAAGGCAAATGAAATTAAAAAGTATTAATGCTGAAGATCATAAGATTTATTCTTCCAAATCTGAATGAGAAATTCAAAAGCATGTGGATTATGTTAATGATTTCACAAATGTTCAATATGCGCACTGCCTGAGACACGGCATTTTTATACCTGTAAAGAAAAAGATTAAAGATTAAAGAACATAAAAATACAAATCAAAAAAACACAAAAACATAAAGACATAAAAACATAAAAAACAAACATTAAACATAAAGATGCTATTAAAATTTGAAGTCATTTGAAGGAGATCTAACAAAGTTATTAGATTGCGAAATGATATCAAATTTTTTGAAACACCTTGTATTTCCCTGTACCAAATGTTAATAAACTTTTTGTTAAACCAATTCCAGCTTTATACTTTTGTTTTTGATAACTCAGTGACAACAGAATCGTTTTCAAAAATTGATATGGCAGCTCAATTCCACAATGAAATAACAAATTGCAAGTCTGAACTTAAAGATTCAAAGACAGAAAGAAATGTCAAAATCATTAATCACAAGTAACAATATCTCAAATTCCAATACGCATAAACAGTCAGAAATTCAACATGTCAGATGCATGTGGTAGAAAAAATAAACGACTCTCAAATTCAAGAATACCAGCCACTTTTATCAACAGAACAGATTTTTCATTAGTTGACAGGTGGGATTAGCATATGCAAAATATTCAAAAGGGAAAGATGTTTCATGGGACACCATTTATGTAGGCTAAGCCAGTCATGTGATGTAGGAGTGTAGGCAATTCAAAATAGCACAGAATGTTTTTTTAGAAAATCATGGTAAAAATATATTTTTTTACATCTATTACACCACAACTTATTTATTCTTATGAGATTTAGAGAAGTCAAATTTTGTCCTGCTTGTAGTGAGTGCAAAATAATAATAATGTTTATATTATTTAATAGTGAGTGCGAAATAATAACAATGTTTATTTAATAAAAATATCTTATATTTTTATCTTTAATTTTGTTATGGATTTCAATCAGCCCACAAGCTAAAAGCAGAGGAACTTAAATTATAGTGTTGTGAGGCTTAGTGGTTAAAATGGACAGTTGATTTACACATGCCAAGAAGATTATTGAAGGATGATAATGATGAGGAAACACACAGGTAATTTTCACAAAATAAGATAAAGAACTTATTTACAAATTTAAACACTTGATGTAGTGTCAGTAGCTAGATTCAGAAAAATAGATCAAAATTAAAGTCCATAGTTTTAACATGCTGTCATGAAGAAGAAATGGTCATACAACAAGTCACCATTAACTATCTTAGAACTAGCTAATCAGCTTCATGACCATTCATCCATTACAATTTGCTCATTCACCACAGGAACACATCAATCATCCTGCAATCCTACATATACCACAATTCCACATATTCACAGGGACCCTACAAAAAAACCCATGACATAAAAAGTTCTTTATGTACAAATTGTCTCACAAAAATATGTAAAAATATAATGATATGAAATCAAGGTGGATGAACCCAGAAAACAAAACTAATCTATAACAGAGTATTCAAACTAAAA